GACCCTCAATTGGCAGGTACATGGGGGTGCAGGGTGGGGGGCCCCCAGGCGCGGGGTGCTGCCCAGGCCGGCCTGGCTTGCATGGGTGCTGGCAGGGAGGGAGGATTTGCATTGCTGGGAACCGGAGGGCACCGGTGCTCCCATCCTGGCTGCCACCCGTGGGGGCTGCCTGGTGCTCAGACCCATGCACTGGCCCAGTGGGTGCTGGGATGGGTCCCCGCTCACCCAGGATTGGGATCGGCACTGGCCAGGGAGGGGGGACAGGGCTAGGAGGTGGGTGCTGAGCCCAGCTCTGCCCCTCTCACCTTCAGCCCCCAACATCGGGGGGCTGCTGGGGTTGTAAACCCACTCCTGCCATCAAAGTGCATCCCCAGAGCCATCGGAGCAAGCCAGGGCTCCACCTCGGGTGGCCTCGCAACCTGGGCTGGGGGGACAAAAGGGCTCCCCTGTCACCCCTGTCCCCCTCCTCCCCGCAGGGCACGTGGCTGCCTGTGACACGGCTCGGCGGGGGGGATCAGGGGCAGCGAGGGGAGATGGCAGCTCCCCTGCCCTTGTTATGAACCCCAGCCTGCGCAGCAGCCGCCCAGACCAAATCCTTCATTTTCCTGAAGGTGGCAGGTCCGCTCTCACCCCGCGGCAACGGGGCTCAGCCCTACATGGCCGGAGGCTCGGCTTAATCTGTGGTCACCAGCTCAAAGGCAGCCGCAGCCGCTGCCCTTGCCCCCTCCGTCTCTTCTAAATATTAAACGGCACCTTGTACCTTTTACTTGGGTGCTGGGAGACCTGGGCTGGGTGCTGGGAGACCCTTTGGGATGACGGGAGGCAGCAAACGAGCTAAGCGGGTTGGCTTGGCTTGGCCAGGGGAGATTAATTAGCTGTGCCGGGTGTCCCGGTGTGCCAATACCGCTGGGATCCAGCACGGCACGTCCTGGCAGGCAGGGATGGCCAGCAGGAGCAGCCAGGAGGCTGCAGGGTCTTATCCTCGTGTCCTCATGTCCTCGTGTCCTTGTGTCCTTGGCCCACCATTGCAGTAGGAAATATTTTAGCAAAAAATGGGGTGCTGGGACAGAGCAGGGCTCCGGGGTGAGCTCCTTTTCCAGGGCCGGTGGGGCACTGGGTGCCAAATCCAGCTGCAGGGATGGGATGGGAAAGACAGACCTGGAGATCTTTGGAAATCCGGCTCCGGGTGAGAGGCAGCCGTGATGTTGAGTCAGCAGCTCCCGCCTCCCCCGAGCGCCCCGGTGCTGTGTGGAGCCGGCGTCCCTGTCCCGGTGCCACCCCGGGGCCACGGGCACGGCGGGGCCAGGCACCGCCAGCAAGTGCTTGGGAAACCAGCGCTGAAGCAAGCCCGGGGTGCAGCCAGGTGCCAGGCGGCTCCGGCTCCAGCTCCAGTGGGACGGCAATATTGCAGGGCAGAGAGAGGCCACGTCCCCGTGCAAACCGCACTGCCCTGGCACCCCCGCCCCTGGCAAGAGCTTCCCCGGCGCGGGGGTCCCCGTGTGCCACTGCGGAGCCCCCGGCTCGGGGCGCTGGGGCTCCCTCCAGCCTGACCCTGCTCTTGGCCGTTTGCTCTGACACCCATCTTGTCCCCAGCAGATTTAAGCAGCTTTTCCTCCGCACTGCCAAGTGCACCCATCCCTTTTCCACTGGCGGGTGCTGTGACCCTGGGGATCCAGCTGTGACCCTGGGGATCCAGCTGTGGCTTTGCCAATGCAGCTGTGGCTTTGCCCATGCAGATGTGTGGCCCTGCCCGGGCTGGTCCCAGCCTCGAGCAGCGCTGGCTGTCCCAGACGAGGCCTCATCGCCTCCTGGAAAATGACACAAACTCTTCCTATCTGTACTGGAAAGACCTGCCGGGCCGGGGAGAGCAAGACGCGGAGGGCGCATGGCGAGCTGGCAGAAGGGGCAGGCAGCTGCCTGCACCCGGTGCTTCTCTGCCTGCTCCCGGCCTCCCCGACTCCCCTTTAGGGACTGGTAAAGCCCAACCTGGAGCTGTCAGGGGATGAGGGGGTTGGAGGGGGCCCAGCCCCAGGTGGTGCAGGATGAATCCCTCTCCCGAGATGTCCCCTGGGGAAACCAGCCCCGGGGGCTGTGCAGGGAGGTGTCCCCGGCCCCGGCCGGGGGACCCCAAGCTCAGCCTGTCCTCGGGCTGAGCCCAAAGCCCCGTCCCTGCCGCTGTCCCCGTAGCCGGGCGGTGACACCAAACAGCTCCTAATTGGGAGCTGCCGAGATGCCAGCACGCTTCCGGCTCCCTCCCCAGCACCTGCTGCGTCAGCTGCTTCCCAAACCCAAACCCAGCAATAAAACCCTTCTTGGGCAGGGATGCAACCACGGCACAGCGACGCCTCCGCCGGCATCCCCCCCCAGCCGAGGAAGCGTGGATGTCCCTGTCCCCTGCCCCGTGCCCCGGGGACCACAGCGATGCCCACCCTGCAGCACTGAACACAAGGGCACGGGAGCTGAGCGCTGGGCACCGGCTTGGATCAGGGTGCGAGCGCCGGGTGATTAGTGCAGCTCATTTTCTCGTGCCGATGGGGCTGCAGAGGTGGACGGAGCCATCCCACCTTTGCCAAGCAGCAATAGGGAAGGGTCAAGGGAAGATGCTGCTCAGGTCTCCACCTCCTCCTGCGAACCCCATGGCTGCCCCGGCCCCGGTCCTGGCCAGGCCCTTTTCCCCTGCGGAGCAGCTTCCCTGTTGCTTTTTAGGCTTGTTTGTTTGCTGCATTTGCTGACTCGGCGCAGCCCTGCTGCCCGCCTGACTCATCCTGCAGCTTAGGGCATGGCACGGCTCAGGGCACGGCATGGCCCGGTCGGATCCTGCACACTCACCTGCACTGTGCCGGCCCGCTGGGCTCTGCCGGAGCCCACCTTGGCAGCGTGGCAGAGCTCCCCGCCGTCTCTGCTGGATGCAGAAGAGTTGGTACGGGCAGGCAGAGGGGCCCACAGTGCCCCCGACGTCCTGCACATGCCAGGATGGATGACATGAGCACCCCGAGAATTGCAGAGAGCCCCAAAGCCACCTCCTGTGCTCATGGGACCCCCTCAAAATGTCCCCTCAGAGGGAGGTCTAGGGGGTTTTAGGGTCTGGCTCGGGGTCCAGGGCTGGTCCTCTCAGGGTGGTTTCTGCTCGGCTCTCCCAGGGTCTCCTTCTCTTTCTGCAGCTCCGCCAGCCCCAGCGTGGCAGCCACGGGGGCCGAGCCCAGCAGCGCAGGGTGTTACGGGGCCACAGCAGCCCCTTCCCCAGCCCCCCGGCATGGATTCGCCGTTCCGGCACAACAAGACGAGGGGCTTCGTCTCCAGCACGGAGCTGAGCATGAAGCAAGCAGTGCTGAGCGCGCCGGAGCCTGAGGGCAGGTCTCACTTCCAGAAGGTCTCGCTGGTGTCGCGGCGGCTGGAGAGCGCGGGGAGCGCGCGGGCCCGGGAGGGGAGTCCCTCCCGTGTCTCCCTCCTGCTGCAGGCCTGGGAGAGGGAGATCGTGGAGAAGACAGCGGCCGGCCCCACCACCCTGACGCACCAAGAACGCTCGTCCTCCGTCAACCTCCTCAAGGACTTCACCACGCACGGCCCCGTCTTCTCGCAGGTGTATTCCCCCGCGCAGAAGCCCCGGCGGCAGGACGAGAGGGGGAAGGCGGGGGCCGACGGTGGCGGTGATGGCATCCCCCCGCCAGTGGGTGCCCCCTGCGAGATGCCCGTGCACAGGGAGAGCTACGTGCACGGTGCCCTCCTCCCCACCCAACCCGCCGAGCGCCCCGCAGGGGGTCCCGGCGAGGGTCCCGGTGCCCCGTGCGGGGCCAAGCCCGGCTGCGTCTCTGCCCTGCCCAGGGCCAGGCACGTCACGGTGCTGCGGACGGGCAGGGACGCAGCCAGGCCTGAGCCGGGGCTGGCTGAGGGAAGAGAAGCCCAAAAGGGGATGCACGATGCTGCCGGCACCACGATGGCCCTGCCGCAGCGGGAGAGCTGCGAGCAGGACGGCAGCAGCTTTGCTGGGGCCGCAGCGGGCAGCAAGTGCTCGCCGGGCACCGCGGAGGCTGCCGGGCTCCCGGCCAAGGGATCCCCCAGGGAGAAACACTCGCCGCAAGCCGAAGCCGTGCTGGTGAACGCAGCCCTGGGAGATGGCGACAGGCCTGGGGACCCACAAACCAGTATAACCAGCTCCCCGCAGTGTCCCGTGGCAGACACCGGTGGCCAGGCTGATCTGGCTGGTGTGGGAGAGGAAAGCGCGGCAGATGGGGATGGCACCATTTCAGCCACACCACCGAGGACAGAGAGCCCCCCGGGAGCTGGCGGCACCCCCGAAAACCCCTCCTCAGAGGTGAGCGATGGTCCAGAGCCTTCAACTGAAGCACCAGCATCCCCAAAGGCTGAGGTTGAGTTGGAGGGGGGAGAGACGACGGGGGACCCCCAGGGCACGGCCCAAGAGTCCGAGAGCAGCCCAGAGCCCCCTGCCGAGCCCCCAGCCAATGACCCACTGGCTGAGAGCCCCCCAGACACAACCGAGGAGGACCCCGCGCTGCGGGTGGACATGGAGATCTTCGTGGACACGCTGCGCAACATGGAGCCCTCGGAGATGCGGAAGGCGCCCAAGGCCCCACGCCAGCCCCGGCCTGGCGCGGGGCCCGGCGGGGCTGCAGGAGGAGAGCCCCGAGGAGGAGGTGGAGATCGAGAACCCCTACCTGAGTCCTGATGAGCGGACGCCGGTGGGAACCCTCCATGGGGCACCCGGGGACAGCACCGCCAGCAATGCCAGCACCGCCAGCAATGGCCGGGTGGAGGGGGGCTTGCTCCCGGGGACACCGAGGCAGGCGGGAGCGGAGGAAAAGGCCAAACTGGTGGCCGGGGGCTTAGCTGAGCGGAGCGTGCTCTTCCGAGGGAATGTCCTCAAGGGCATGGCACTGCTCTCCCACTTCTTGGAGCACCGGCCGACTGCGGCTGACGAGGTGAAGCCCTACTCACGCCTGGACAACAGTGTGCTCTACAGCCGCTTTGTCTCCCCCAGCACCGCCCCGCTTGAGCTGCCCGGCAGGGACGGCGGGGGCACAGGCTCGCCCACCCCCAGGGACCACAACGGGCTGGGCCCTGGTGAACACCCTGGCCCCGAGATGGCCGTGCTGGAAGCCCCGAGTCCCAGCCGCATCCCTCCTGTCACCAAAGAGCCAGAGAGCGCCGTGGCCCTGTGTCCCACTGATGTCCTGGTGAGTGAATCCCGCAACGCGGCACCTGGGGAGATGCTCTGCCCTCCTGGGCACGCGGTGGGGTGGTGGGGTCTGAACCCTGGAGCATCTCCCCCTGTTCCCGGCACACGGCTTGTGCTTCCCATCAGAGAGGCCATGGGGTGAAAGCCCCTGGTGCGATGGGACAGTACTGGGATGGGTGATGGGAGGGTGCTGAGATGAGTGACAGGAGGGTACCAGGGCGGGTGAGGGAGGGTATTGGCACGGGTGATGGAAGGGTACCAGGATGGGTGACGGGAGAGTATCATCCTGGGTGACAGGAGGGTACCAGGGTGAGTGACGGAAGGGTACCGGGTCAAGTGATGGAACGGTGCCACCACGGATGATGGGAGGGTCCCGGGGCAGGTGACAGGAGGGTCCCGGGGCAGGCGGGGAGGCTGATCCCCAGCAGTGCAGGAATGCTCGAGGTGTGGCTGCTCGGGGCGGTGGGAGGGATTGGCAGACGCCAGACGCGAGGCTGCGGCTGCGGCTTCCTTGGGCTGCGGGGAGATGGCTGGTGCAGCCGATGTCCCTCCACGCTCTTCACGCACCCATCCCCTCGGGTGTTCACAGCAGGAGGACAAGGAGGGCTTCGAGAAGATCAACACGAGACCTGGCAAGGTACAGGGAGCGTGGCGGGGCCGGGCCGGGCTGGCCAGCTGGGGCATAGTGCGGTGCGATATGGTAGCACCTCTCCACTGTGTCACCCCCTCCCAGATCATCCTCTTCTCTGAGGCCGGCTTTGTGGGCCAGAAACGGGAGATCTGGGGCGACGTCCCCGACGCCACGTCCTGGGAGCTCTCGCACACCATCTCCATCCGGGTCATCCGAGGCGGGTAGGGGACGGCAGCAGGGCGAGGACACGCGGCGAGGACGCAGGGGGAGGGTTCGGCCGGGGATTGCACGTTCCCCGTGCCGGGGATGGCGGCCAGCTCCCAGCCTGAGGTTCAGGAGTGACCGTCCTGCCAGTGCTAATTACCGTGGCTGCGATCCAGCACCGCGGCGGTGGCAGGATGTCCCCACCCATGCGCTACCCTGAGGCTCCCGACAGCTGCGGGGCCGTGGGTAAAAGCAGGATCCCCTCCCCCCCCGCTTTGCTCCCACCCGGCTCCCAGGTGGGTGATGTACGAGAAGCCGCGGTTTCACGGGCGCAAGTGCGTGCTGGCCGAGGGGGACGTGGAGATCGACAACCCCTGGACGGCGTATGGGCAGAGCGGGCAGCCCTGCAGCAGCCGGCCCTTCCGCATCGGCTCCTTCAAGTTGGTGGTGCGGGTAAGCGCATGGACACCCCCGAGCCTCCCACTCCCTACCAGCACCCGGCAAGCAGGGGGTGCCGGACCCCAGTAACACTGCTCTGCCCCATGTCAGGATTACCATACCCCCGAGATCAGCCTGTTTGCAGAGGAGAATGGCGAAGGTGCCCGGCTGAAGTTCACCGACTCGGCCGAGGACACCCGCATGCAGGGCCAGGCGCTCACCGCCGCCTCCATCATCGTCCACTCGGGCTTGTGAGTGGGACCGTGGTGATGGGTGGGCGCCGGGTGGGCTCCAGCAAGGGCTGGAGCGGGGCATGATGCTTTCCCCCTCTTTCCCAGGTGGCTGGTTTACTCCAAGCCTTTCTTCGACGATGACCCCTACGTTTTGGAGCCAGGCGGGTACCCCAATTTAAAGGCTTGGGGAGCAAAGGACCCATCCATCTGCTCCATGCACCCCATCAGGCTGGTGAGTGCCGGTTGCTGGAGCGTTACTGGTTACTGGGGTGCCAGGGCCGTATCAAGCCCCGGGCATGACAGGCGAGAGCATCTCCCGGTGGTTCCCGGTTCACATCAGTGAGAGCTCAGTGTGGGAATGTGCCGAGCATGGCTCTGGAAAGTGCTCCTGTGGGTTAGTGGTGAAGGAAAGCAATAAAACAAAGGCCAAAAGAGCTTGTTCTTGAATGAAAACGACCCAAAAAACAGCTCAGGCTTTAAAGGGGGGGATCGGATGCCCCCATGCCGTCCCCTCCTGCCACCGTGGCCTCAATGGGGCTCCTTCTCCTTCCAGGGCTGCCCCGTTGTGGAGAGACCCGGTGAGCCGCAGGTGAGCACTGGGCCAGCGCCCAGGGAGGCCGTGGGGCCAGGATGGCCGTGGGATCGTGCTCACCCCACCGTGTCCCCAGGTGCTGATCTACGAGGCTGTGGGTTTCCAGGGCTGCAGCTTCACCATCAACCGAGACATCTACGACCTGAAGTGCCTGCCCGGGCCGGCACTGCCCACCGTGGGCTCCCTGCGTGTCCTGGGCGGCTGGTGAGTGGCACGGGGTGGGCAATCCTGGCTGGAGCAGGCTGGGAAGGTGACAGTCACCCCCAGGAAAGGGCTCAGAGGAGCTGCCCGGAGCTGTGGGATGGCCACAGGCAGCTTGGGGGAGAGGGTGGCACTAGAGAGGCATGGACGGTGTCCCTGTGTCCTGGCACATGGAAATCCTCCGCTCCGGAGACCTCACTGCCCACATCTGCCTGTGCCACAGCTGGGTCGGCTACGAGAAGGAGGGCTTTCGCGGCCACCAGTACCTGCTGGAGGAAGGGGAGTACCAGGACTGGAGGCAGTGGGGCGGCTACAGCAAGGAGCTGGTGTCCTTACGGCTGATACGGACGGTGAGGACAGCAGTGGCGGCATCGCTTGGGGATGGACCCAGTGTGGGCGGGGAGAGCCAGCCCCCCTGGTCCCATCCTCATCCCCCAAAGGGAGCCTTCCCTGCCTGCGTCAGGCAGCTGGGCATGGCCTGAGATCCCCCAAACTCATCACGTGCATAGGTCTAGGTGCCCAGAGCTGCTCCCACCCTCCCTGGGGTCCCTGAGGCCAGGCAGGACCCCAGCTGTGTGTGTGGAGAGCGCCTGGCCCATGGCCCTTTCCCCCCAACAGACCGAGGGGCTCGGGGCGGGGGGGCTCCTTCTCCCCACAGGACTTCTCCGACCCAGCGCTGGTCCTCTTCGAGGCCATGGACTTTGAGGAGGGCCCGAGTGTGGAGCTGAGCGAGGCGCTCCCCGACACGCAGCTGGCCGGCTACGGCACCGTCACCCAGTCCATCCACGTGCTGAGCGGCGTGTGAGTTCGGGGACGGGGGGACGAGGGGCTGGACAAAGCGGGGGCTGAGCCAGCACCCACATTTTCCCGGCAGGTGGGTGGCCTACGAGGGCACCAGCTTCTCGGGCGAACAGTACATCCTGGAGAAGGGGGTCTACCGCAGCTGTGAAGACTGGGGTGCCACAGATTGCCGCATCGCCTCGGCACAGCCCATCCTGCAGGTGAGAGCACCGGACACCCCCTCCTTCGCCGCGGCACCCTACGTGGGGCTGGTGGGGGCCGGGCTGGGGCAAAGACGCCAACCAGCCCTGCTCTGTTTGCTTCCAGGTCGGGGAACACAACCTCCATTTCGTCTCCAAGGTCAGGGGCGGCGGATGGGGAGGGGGATGTGCCCCCCCGGGGGACGTGGCCCCTTGCGGGGTGGTGGCGATGCTTTGCCCCCCTCACCGAGCCCCTCCGCTCCCCCTCCCCAGATCCTGCTCTTCTCAGAGCCCGACTTCTTGGGGGAGCATGTCACCTTCAAGGAGGACCAGGAGGCCCTGCCTGCCACCTTCGTCCCACACTCCTGCAGAGTCCACGGGGGCAGGTAGGGTGTCCCGGGGCCTCACTGCTTCCATCTGGGGATGGGAACAGGGACATCACCCTGGCCGGCAGCCCCGCAGGTGCCCATGGGGACTCCCCGGGAGGGTGGGCAGGACCAGGGGTGCTGGGGGGCCATAGGTGGGATGGATGCCCACCACGATGGCCGCGTCAGCCTGGGCACGCTCCTCCCCGCCAGCTGGATCCTGTTCGACGGGCAGGCATTCACGGGGGAGCAGCACGTGCTGTCCGAGGGCGAGTACCCCACGCTCAGCGCCATGGGCTGCCTCTCCTCCACCGCCATCCGCTCTTTGAAGAAGGTCCCAGTGGTGAGTACCAGCCCTTCCTTCCCTTCCCACCAGCACCGGGGCAGAAACCCCCCAGGAACCTTCTTCCCCTCCCACGGGTACCCAACGGCGCTGGCTCTCCGGCCTTGGAGCCCTTCCGCACCCATGGGTGCTCACTCCTCCCGCCTGCCCCCTCACGCCTCATGTCTTCCCCCATCCCGCAGTTTTTCTCGGAGCCCTCCATCTTCCTGCACGGGCTGGAGTGTTTTGAGGGGAAGGAGATTGAGCTGAACAACGAAGTGCGGAGTCTCCAGGCAGAGGGTTTCAACAACCACGTGCTGTCGGTGCGCGTCAAAGGCGGGATGTAAGTGAGCCCCAGCCCCGCTCTCCCCTGGCGTGCCCGGAGGTGACTGTGCTCTGCCCATCCGACACTATCCCATCCCATCTTGTCCCATCCCATCCCATCCCATCCCATCCCATCCC